TTGTACCACATACTAAATTTCAGTCAATACATTCTCGGTACATACCCCATCCATATCTATCCATATACGCATATATGTTTTATATGATGAACATGTATCTATATATACGTTTATAAATATACATGAATATATCTACCTGTTCGGTTCCCATCAAAATCCAAAGGGATATATCCAAAGGTACTGGATACGAGTATAGTAGGTAAGGATGTGAAACGATTCAAGTATACACGCGAGAGCAGTATTTTTCTCTCACTACTCTAAGTTATCTTATCCCATCGGTATGTTCCTTCTTTTCGAAAAAGAGTAAAACGCGTCAGCTATCCTATACTAACTCTTTCGACAGACATGTTCGTTGAAAAAAAAAATCTAAATTTTTCTTCGCGATTTTGTATGAACATTTTTGTAACATTTGCATTTTAGTCGAGTATTATATTCCTGAAATAAAAATCCTTTATTATATCCTTTAACTAGCGAACATATTCCATTACTTTCCTAGTGCATAGATTAATATATTTCAATATCTGTTCGTGAGATATTATTTGATATTTTATTAAAAAAGGATGGAATAATCTATTAACATTATTAACGAAAAATAATCGATTTTTTATTGAGAACGTATTAATGTATTAAGTTATCTTACAATTATATCGACTCATAGACGAGTTGTTCTATGTTGTATGTACATAGCGGATTTTATACTATAAATATATTTATACATAATATATATATTTATTTATATTACAAATAAATACTCTCTTTCGCATTCGAGGTGAATGCTCCCTTTTTATCCAGATATACATAATATAGATAAAATCGGAAAGGAACATCGTTGGTGTTCTTCGCTTTCCACCTATCATATTGCTGTAGTACCTCTTCATACTATCTCTTATATCCGGAAATCAAAGCAACTTTTACTCTCTCTCTCTCTAAATCTGTTTTCATCTAACTCACGCATTCGCATTCGCATTCGCATACTTCAAGGTAAAAGGTACATTTCTTCTTTTTATTTCTTATTACGAGGCTTTTCGTTTTGCGATAATACTATTTCTTATAGTTAAAATCTACAGAAATCTAGGACGTATAACGTATTTCTACGAATCTAAATCTCTTGTTAATTTTTTTTTTTTTTTTTAATAAGGCTTATGATCTAAAATATTGGTAAATACACATCATCGTAGAATATATTTACAACACACTTACACTCGTAGATACATATCATATAAGTTAGGAGCAAAGAAAATTTTGCCTTTTTCCAATCATATTTTAGCTAATACACGCACACAACAAACATTCATTCATATACGTAAACGTAAGTAAATGTACGTAAGTGCATATATACCATTCATACATATGCATTATATCGTATAAAACATTTCTCTCTCGAACGATCCCATTTACTTTAAATATTTCTTCGATGATCTTCTTCAAGCAACCACCCCACTTTATCTCCCATCCCATTCCATCCCATTTTATTCGAGTCAGCATTTTATCTTTGTCGCGAAAATTTCTACGAAGGAACAAACGTTGGGCATCCGTCGTAGATAAGTTTTTCGAAAGAACAATCAAATACCAAGTATTAAATTGTTAAATCTTTTTCTTTATTTTTTGTTTTTTTTTTTTGTTTTGTTTTGTTTTTATATTGCCAAAGAAATACGTTATATACTTATGTAACAGAGCATTTTTTATTATATTGTATTTTTTTTTTTCTTCTCTTTCATATGGAATTTTTTCTCGATTTATATTACATGTATATATATATATATTTATTTATTTGTATGGTCTCTCCGTCATAGGATAGAGACAAATCGGTGGGATGCTTAAAGACACGCATAATTATATTCTCTATACTTCGCGATTGCTTTTTTTTTTTTCGTTAAACAAAAATCACGTTATTCGGAACAATTATTTTTTTAAAACATAGACAAACGTGCATAATAATACAACGAGGAAATTTATACGAGAGAAGAATACATTAACAAATATCTTTTTTTTCTTTTTTTTTTTCAAATAACAAAAGAAAATGATGAAATAATTTGAAAACGTATTTGAGAAGAATTTTCATTAAATTTGTTCGATATCGACGACAACGACATAAATTAATTTCTTTATCTTTCGATAAATCAAAAAATAACTGTTGGTAGAAATTGTAGAAAATTGTAATATTGCGGAAAAAAAGTATTCCTTGGACGAATTATAACTTTTCTATGAAATAATACAAGACGACGTTATTCTCTTCGTTGATTAGATTATTTAATTATTGTTCTATAAATAATGTATTATAATCTATACGATTTTTAATCTTTTTTTTTCCTTTTTTCCAAAATAATGATGAACGTCAATTTTAGAAAATGAATATAATCAAATATAGAACGTTTCGCGATAATGATTATAATATATGTATCCGATTGAGCGCGTATCCGCGCACTTGTGTGTGTGTGTGTGTGTGTGTTTAAAATGACTTCGAGCAAAGGCGGGATGTCACGAGGGATTTAAAATCCGATTATGAGTGACCATCGTTAAATGACAATTACGCATGGATACACATGAAAATACACTCGACAAAGCATCGCGATTTCCCTATTACGATGCAACGCAGTGCATCCATGCATGCGTATTTAGACGACGCGATCATGCTTAAATATCATTTAGATACGACTTTCCATTTATTTTATACTCTTTCTCGCATTCTAATTCATTCTCACTTTCGACTAGATCCTATGAATAATTTAAGAAGAAAAAAAAAAAAAGAAAAAAAAAAAGAAAAAAAAAACAAAGCAAGAGAGAGACGAAGATTAATTCGTTTTATTGACGTATTTCAAAATTCAAATCCAGTTTACGTATATTTTCCATTTCAAATCGTCGCCGTTTTCTTTCTTTCGACCGCCGTCCCCTCTCCCACCACCATCACCCTCCTCCCCTCTTTTGTCTTTTTATTTTATTTTTCTAATTTAATAATCAAAAGAATTATTTAAAAAGTTTCTCTATAAGGAATTTCATTAGATATGAGTATTCTCGAAAGTGTATTAATTATTTTTCGTTAAATACGAAAGCATAGATCATAAAGCTTCTTACAAAAATCCAAGTGAAATGGGAAATATATGAATGAGATCGAAAGATTTTTCTATACGCGTGTAGAATTTTAAAGAGAAAATAGAACGAAAGATTATAAGAAAAACGAGGAGTTTGAATTTTCGGAAAGACGGCAAAACGACGACGACGATGACAACGAGACGACTAGTTTTTCAAATGTTCGTGTAAGTGAATCCGAAAAAAAGGTAAGAAGGAAGGAAAGAAGGAAGAAAGAAAGATCTCATCGAAGAAAAGCATTTAGGATCGTGATCGAGACAGGAGAAACGGTTTCCTATTAACGATTCTTCTTATTCTTCCCTTTACGCACAGTTTTCGTGTCTCCTTTTTTCTTTCTCCTATCAGGATGATGAATAAAAATGAAGGAGAGAATGAAAAGCAGGGTAATGGAAGACGAGTGTTAGGGGAGGAGACTTTACCTACTTACGTAAGAAAAAAAAGGGGGAAGGGAGGGAGGAAGGGAGAAGAAAAAAGAATAAAGATCGAAAGAAAGAACATTTGTAAAAAGAAAACTTTGTTCCCTCTTTCTCCACCTTTTCCTTCTTCTATTTCTTTTTCTTCCTTTCTTCAACCCATCTATGTCCTCGCAAAGAAGAAAAAGAAGAAGCAGAAGAAGAAGATGTCGTTTCGATGAATAACCCCGAATGGACCAATACCAGTACTCTTGCTCGAGTGATACGTCGCTTTTTCTATCGTTCCTAGTGGAAAACTTGCTACTTCCCGAAGAAAGATCAGTATTCCTCTTCGTACTCGTCTAACCCCCTTTCCCTTTTCACTATCCTCCCTTCACCACGCCTTTGCTACTTCTTCCTTCTACGGAAACGGCACGTGCTTCGACGCCGGAACGTATTTCTTTTCTTCTCCTTCTATTACATAGGTGTATATATGTTGTACACACATACACACACATACACACACATGCAGACACATACATGCCTATGTGTATATATATAAAAAGAGGGAGGTAAATGTATTTAGTTATATACATCTGTATTTTTCTCTCCCACTCACGATCTTTTTGAAAGAATCGGCTTTTCGGTAACGAAGTTGAGTGGCTAACATTTTTCTCAAAAGGATGTGCGAGTTCTTCTTCTTCTTCTTCTTCTTCTCCATTCTATCTTATCTTCAAATACGTTTCTTTCTTATTCCATGGAAAAAAAAAAAGAAAAGAAAAATCTTAATCGATCTGTGCTAGCGCCGATCAAATTCCCATCGTTAGTTGATGATCATCGGCAGTGTGCAGTTGTGCAGTTTAATCATCGGCTTTCTGGTCCTTTCGTTGTTCCGTATGTCGAACGGTAAATTTAATCTAACACGATTATAATAACGGCGACGAATACATTTTTAAATAATACTTGGATTTTATTAATTTATTTATCTAATTTATTATATATATATATATAATAAATCGGTAAGAGATATCACGGAAAGTGTCCATAAATATCCATTCATTTTTCATGTGGACGAGATGAGGAGAGATGACGATTATATAATATAATATTTAATATTATATATTGACAAAGATTATATATATATATATATATACGATAACATCTCGCGAAGGAACAAACACGTAACGCGTTTTCGCGGTTCGGGACGAAATGAAAGGAATACGTAACCGGAAGAACAAGTGGATTTTATTTTTCTTTTAGTTTTCATTCTAGAGCAAAAAGTTTTCCTTTTTATTCTTGACGACTTTTATCTCCATCTCTCTCTCTCTCTCTCTCTCTTTTACTTTTTACACGCGAAAAATTCGTCGAGTCGCATCAAGTCGCGTATCGGAGTAGAAACGAGCGACGTTTTCTCGTAACGAAGAGAATCTTCCAGTTCGTCTCTTTCATCTCGTCATCATTCTTCTCTCTTTCTTCCTTTCTTTCTTTCTTTCTTTCTTCTTCTTCTTCTTCTTCTTCTTCTTCTTCTTCTTCTTATTATTATTATTATTATTTCCTTTTACTCTTGTTGATCTTCCACAAAAATAAGAATAAAAGGGAAGAAAACAAATGATATTGTTGTTGGTCTTCCTTCCAGCATCTTGCTTCCCCTAAACTGATATCGTTTCTTTCGAAAAGATAGCAGCCCTTTTTGTTCGTATCGAAAAAAAAGGGACCTTGCAGGCAAGGAAATTGCCCTTTTTTCCCCGGCATCGTAGGTGACGGCCACCAAAGCTGAAACCCATCGCTACATTTACGTGAAATACCTCGCGAGAAAAACAAACATCAACGGCACTATCAACTCGACATTATTCCACGTTCTACCGGCTCCGCTATAGATTGCTATACACTCTTCATGGCTGAACGATGCACAGTGCATCTGAAACCGAAAAAGGAAAAACAAAATTGCTTCGTTATCTTCCTCTATCTCTCGTTATTTGCGCGCCCCTTTCTTCGAAATCGATCGTGGGGACAACAATGTTTTAAAAAGAAATTCGTTTCTACGTAGAAAACATTGAGAAATGATTTCGTTTAAATTACTAATTAAATACATTTATTTGCTTTTTTTTTGCATATAATAAATTATTAAGCTACGTTAGGATTACTAGTTTTCTTTTAGAAACATGGTGGAGACAAAACGGAAGACGAAAAACAACTTGTTGTTGATTCCACCATAGAGATTTTCGATAGTATTGAATAAGCGTAAGAAAGGGTTTAACAGAGAAGGGATTCGAACTTGTAAAAAAAAAAAAAAAAGGAGGGTAAAAAGATAAGAAATTATTGCGATAGAAAGGAAAAAAATATGTAGATCGTTTGTACGTAGATGATAAGATAAAAAACGTTGAATCGTTGAGAGAAAATTTAGGTCAACGGTGTTGCAACTAATCGATTCGCGTGCGACAAAAGATTGCGATGAAAAATAAAAAGAAAAATAAAAAGAAATAGAAATAGAAAAGATGAAGAATAAATGACGCGAAGTTTATGTAGTAAAACGAAGCTCTAGCTACTCTAGCGACAAGTTTTTACACGGCTGGGATAAAAGTAGCAAATATTTACCTTCAAAAGCGAATTTGACATCCTGTCGAGGAATTCCTTTGTGAATCGCGCCGTGTCATCGCCACACTGTCGACGTACCGTATGATGCGAACACTCTAGATATTCCTTGAAGGCACTGCAATAGACAGATTCAAAAAAAAAAACAAAAATTAAAAAACAATTAAAAAATTATTAACAATTCGTTTTTAACAACGAACAATAAGATATATATATATGATATTGCAAATGATTGAAATCGATCACTTATCATAAAATCAAGAAACTAAGACATATTATATTATAGTTTGTTTAATCATAAAATGTTTGAAATGATAGATGAATATGAAGAGGAAAAATGTATTTTTGCTATTGGTCAAAGGGAGAAAACGGACCATCTCAGTTTTCTCGTCGCGTCGTTTCGCCGTTGTGATCTCTCGAACAACAGCGTGTAAATACACAAGGCAGGTTTTCAGGTTGATGGATGTACATAGAGTGTAATGTCATTAGCCTATCTCTAACACGGTCTGTTGCAGCTTTTGAACTCGCGCATCCTTTGGGAGAGAGAGAGAGAGAGAGAGAAAGAGAGAGAAAGAGAGAGAAAGAGAAAATCCGAGGAAGTGGAAATATCGTTTGTGCGAGTGCGCGTGCGTAAACCGGAAACGTTGAAAAATTAACTTTCGAAAGACAAAATATACGATGATAGGTATTTATTATCGATAAATTTATTCTAGCGAATTAATTGCCGTCGTTGTACGTTTCTTTTCCATTCATTGCGTATGGAAATCCATGCACGACTTTGCGATTAAGACAATGAGACGATGTCAAGGCCGGTCTGACGTGAGTTAAATCAAAAAAAAAAAAAAAGAAAAAGAATTATATATGATTTTATAATAAGAATGAAATTTATTTAAGTGATATGTGCTTTTCGATCGTTCAATAGATGATTCAATTATTTCAAAGATAATATTTGTAATATTTCATGGTTATATTCGTCCTGTTTATAGAGAATGAAATAGCTTAGAAATAATTTGTGTTTGATTAGAAGAAAATGAAAAGAGAGAGGATTATCGGTTCTAAGTGGTCAGTAAATCTACGCGTTTTTTCGATTGGATAGATGGTGGTATTTTATCTCTCGACAATTGTTTATGTTTGTTACGTTTAATCGAATTTTTCGTAAAGTCATCGCGACGTCATTTGATGTAGATATTATATAGAATAGGTATATTCAAAGTGAGTAAATTGTCGAAAAATGTATCTGCACGAGATTTGTAATACGAATGTAAATTCGACCGTTCATTCTCGAATAATCGTTGAAATTTAATATCTATTCGAATGCAATAACATTAAAAGGTAAATTCGTTTTGTGCAAACGTTATCGATGAACAAATAATTGTTATATACGAACATTTGAAAACGTACGGAATGTAATTAACTTTTCGATCGAAAAATATTTGTTAAATATTCAATTACAAATAAACGTGCATGCTTGAATCATTGAAATGCACAATCTCGTTTCGAATAGTAGTATTTTCGTTAAATTTTACCAAAGGTAAAGAGAGTTAAGTACAAACAACAGTGATGATTAACGAACGATTGTAATGAAATAAATTAAAGATTGAATTTCATAGAAATGTGAGCACGTGCATGCGCGATCTCTTACAAGTGTTTCGACATTAAACGTCATTGAATTTCGATTCGAAGAACGTATCGCGTTTGATAAAGTGAAACTTTCGACGTGAAAGAAATGGAGAAGAGAAGAGAAGAGAAGAGAGAAAAATTGCAATAGGAGTCAACGACGAGGTGGCTACTTTAATTTATCGATCTCTTTCTCCGCCAAATATACGAGAAATGAAAAGATAAATGAATTTCAAGACGGATAGAAAAAGTTCGAAAAAAAGTAAAAAAAAAAAANATCGATCTCTTTCTCCGCCAAATATACGAGAAATGAAAAGATAAATGAATTTCAAGACGGATAGAAAAAGTTCGAAAAAAAGTAAAAAAAAAAAAGAAAAAAAAAAAAAAAAAAAGAAGAAATGAAAAAGGGGAAAAAATGAAAGATTCTAATTATTACTTAAATATAAATAAAAATGCCACATACTCAAGAATTTTCCTCTTTCCATTTCATTATCCTTAATTTATAAAATCTCACACTTACCAACAAACCGATTTGAGAGAACCGTTAGGACCAGACGTACGATTTTCCCTCTCGATTTCTTGAGTGGTTCTCTCGTATCTCTTGTAACAACGATCGTAGTCTTTCTTGGCATGGTGCATGCATGGTGCGTGTCGTAGATATTCTGAAAACACAAATAAACCGAATGCAAATGTGCATAAGTATCGCGATCGCATTGTGAATCGATAAATATTAAATAAATCACTAGGTTAAAAAACGTTATTAAAAGAATTATTAAATGCAACAACCTATTGAATAATTCCAACAAGGGAACGGACGTTTAAATAAAATTATTATATAGCAGAAGAGAGAAAATTGTGAAGTAATGTGGTATATTAAATTATATCGTAAAGGGTTAGGTCATTGTTCGTGCGAAACCGATGCGATCCAATAAGATCTTCGATAAGGTAGAGAAGAAGGGAATGGGGGAGAGATCACGCGACTAGTTTCGAGTTATCTCTGTGTTTCGAGATTAGAGGGATACGGCACGGTCAGAGATAGCGACCGGCACTCAACTCAATAATGCATTCGGCACTCTCGAGATTACGGGAATATCGCGCGTGTATCGTCTTCCTCGTACATACGTACGCACGTATGTGTGTGTGTATGTATGTAGGCATGTACAAAGGTAGATTGGTGAAAACGAGAGAGCAAGAGAGAGGAAGGCAGGCAGGAAGGAAGGATTTCGGTCGATTCTGTAAAGGACAGGACGCAGTAAGCAGCAAAATGGCTATCTCGAATGCGTCTTGAATTTATCGATTTTCCAGTGGAAATTGCACGGCCGCGAGAGTCAAACGTTAAGACGATCCAGCGCACTTACCGTCTTGGTAAGGACCATCTTGGCAAAGTTCCATAATCGCTTGGTTTGTCCCCGTGTACAAAGAGTTAAAGTGTTCCCTCTGGTCGGCCTCCATGCACTTGACGGTGTACGTTTTGATGCACTTCATCCCAGCCTGGATATCTCTAGAAATATCGACAGAAAGAGAAAAGGAAATATAATATATGATTAATATTCTAAGAGAATATATTCTCGGATCCACTCGATTTCATTCGACTAATTATCTTCCGTCTAATTGAAACCGTATCATTACTCGGTTCCTCGGGTTACTCCTATTCTATTTAATTGTACGTATGTAGATACGTATGTGTAACGTGTAGGGTCAGTTAGGAACAACCACTAAGAAAATCTAATACCTACTCAGATATTAAACTTGGAATTTAAAGTAATACGAGAAAACGTTTAGAAATGTAATTAGACAATTTAGTAATTTAGTTTAAATGAACATCGAGATAGTTTTTGTGAGAATATTTTGATTGATTCTATTATTATTATTTCTTCAGATAATACGATACGATTATATACATTTCTTTCGAATATCTATATATTTTCTTTTTATTTTTTTCCGACTAATTATCGATTTTTGTTCTTGGATCATTTATATTCCTCCTTTAATCCTGGCGTCGATGAATGATTTCGTAGAATTTTAGGAGGAAAATGAAAGAAAATAAAAAATCAAGGAAATCGTGTTCGTTGTGATATAAGATAAGAAGCAAGCTCGAGAGAAGAGGGATGGAAAAATGTGCATCAAAAGGCTTGTATACTTGCTCTCTCTCCTTTCTCTCTTACGAATTGGACCTTCCTTTATTTCTTTCTTTTTTTTTTTGTCTTTTTTTCCTTCATTTCTTCTTTTTCTCTTGCATCCATTCAATCTACATCTTCTTTCGAACTTTCAATATAACTAGGTACCTACTTCACGTCGAGTATCGAAGTAGTTGCACGACCTTGAACAATACTGCAAGTCGAGGTTATACGTTGAAAAGGAATATTCTACGTGCTTTCTCTTACATTTCTCTATAACGCGAAAAATAGCTTAGGCTTTCCAGCAAACCGTTACCTTGCCAAGGGCTGGAAAAGGCATCTAAATTTCAGATTTCAATTTCAATCCTCCGCGCACGCGAGAAAATCGTTGAAACTCGACTTACCCCAGGCATTGAGAAAAGAAAAATGCCGTATGCAAGGTACTTTTATTTATAATTTATCGTTCGTTCAATCCAACGAACATATCAGCCAATGATTTTAATTGAAATATTAAGTATTAAAGTCATATGTAAATAAATTAAAACAATGATTATTAATATTTGATTTTTTTCATTCTATATATTAGGTTGTTAATAATTTTATATGAAAAAAACAAAAATAATCTTGGTAAATACATTTAATAATACCATCGATGCGTTCGTCAACTTCAACAACAATAAGTCAATTTTCCTAAGGGCTATATATTCACATTTAAAAGAAAAAATAAATCCTATCATTGATATTCATTGAAACTAATATTTTGTACGATATTTTATATTTTTCAGAATAAAATTCTTTTTCGTGTTTTTGAACGTTATGCGGGGATTACGTAGGATGTACGTTTACGTATAATTTTTTTTCGGGCTTCCTTTATATTTTACATTTTTATTTATTTTTATTGTTTGCAATGTCGTTAACAAATTTTCTCTTTTTGAATAAAGATGGACACAACAGAATCGAGGGGGGACAAAAAAAGAATAATCCAAAAAAAAAAAAAAAAAAAAAAAAAAAAAAAAAAAAAAAAAAAAAAGAAAAAAAGAAAAAAGAGAAAACCAAAAAAAAAAAAAAAACAAAAAAAAAAAAAAAAAAAAGAAAAAAAGAAAAAAGAGAATAAAAATCGAAAAATGGTCGACGCCATTTAACTGTTCTCCTATTTTATTCTCTATAATCGCCTAGGTCCGGTCCGTTAACGCGATTTTCATTGCGGTCCGAGGACTCGTGTGACATCGGAGTTGGTCCATTATACTCTGGAATGGTTCGAGCGTACTCGGATTACGAGTTATAATGCCAAACAAGCCACGTGTTCTCACTTTTTAATGAAATTATCGATGGTGCGGTTAAAGGACCTTTCTGGCGCATTTAAGTGCTGAAAATGTGTACGAGATAATCCGATTGAAATCCTTTCTCTTCCGTTAAAGATGATTAGAACAAAAGAAAATAAAATAGAAAAAAGAAGAAGAAGAAACGTAAAATAAAGTTGCGGATAAGAAGGAAAATTTTCTAAAGACAAATTCCACAAAGATAAGTTTCATGAGAATGAAAAATTAAAGGTTACACAGTTCGCGGTACGAATCAATCAACTATCGTGGAAAAAGTAAAAGAAAATCGTATCATAAAAAAGCTGCTTTTAAAGAACTAAATTTAAGACGTTTCGATGTAAGCTTCCTCCTATATACGTATGCTGCTTCAACAAGATATTGTCCAACGTTAAAGCCATAACTTATGGGACTCGAGAGAAGAGTATCGATTTTTTAGCAACAGAAGGTGCCACTGTTCGATATAATGAATGATGATATTTATTTTATTTTATTTTATTTTATTTTATTTTTTTTTTGTTGCGTATAATTCAAAGAATTTTCAAAGGTTAACGATACGCATGGAAATTTCGAGTTTTGTCTAATCAGTCTCGATTGCGTTTGCTTTGTTTAGAATGTACTCGTTAGCAATAACGGTCAATGTTAATGAGAAGTATCGTTGGCGTATAGAGTAACGAGCTAACAAGTCAATTTAATAAATTAATCGACGATAGGTAGAATTATTCAAGTGAAATATCAATTTACACGCGCCGATATTAATCGCAAGCTTTGAATAAACGATGTTGAAAAACGCGCAGAAAAAAAAAAGAAAGAAAAAAGAAAAGAAATACAAATTTCTACTTTTTTTCTGTTTTTCAAATTCAAATACGAAATAACTTGTATACTTAATAAATTGATACGAAACGTAGCTACTTCTAATGTATAGAGAAATGCGAATATTCGAGATACTCGAGTAAATATTGAACTTGTCTTATTAGTAAGAGTAACAAGCTCATTTAATTAGATGCCAATTAACCAATTTCTGTGGTTAACTCGATCGAATAAAGTTAAGAAACTTACGGGCATAACTCTTGAAGATCCTCTTTCTTCGTGACGAAACTAAGATCGTTGTTGTTGCTGATCTTCTTGAGAGGTCTTGCGCACCTCGTAAGTTCTTCGTGCCCGCACTCCTCACCTCGGCAACTTGCGAGAACTATGGAGAAACAAATGAAAAAAGAAAAATAATATAAAATCAAGTTAAAAATTTTGTCGATATTAGAGAGAAGCGTATCTTTTCAATTTTTTCTTCTTTTTTTTTTTAACCTCTCTTATTTTATTCAAAGTCACTAGGGAAAGAAATATATATATATATATAACCAAGTTCAGTCGACTAACTGGATTATAAACTGCGAGTTTGCGAGAACATCCCCAAGTATCGCAGCTAAACTAGAATATCGTAAGAAATATAAAGAAAAGAATAGAAGTAGGAAACAAAAATAAGAAAATTTTTCCGAGAACAAAAATTCCCGATAGAGATAGAAATTAGTTTACCGGTAGTTTCTGTTTGTTAATCCAGAAAGTGATACTTTCGGTAGAGCTCCATCGTCGCCTATTTTCCTCCTCCCACACCTTTTCCTTATAAGTTTGTTTTGAGATGCAAAGATGTCGAGGGAAAAGTCGATCTTGACCTCGTTCTAAGCAAACTACCGGTTAATCCTATAGACTTTTGATCGAATCACCCCTTTGCGAACCTTTCTCACCCAACCCCATCGCTAAGGAAGACACGTTTACGTGAGACGACTTTTAAGTAGATAAAAATTAATTTTTCTCAGCAGACCCCTTCGCTTCTCTACCCCTCGCAATTACCCTTCCAGAAGAGTACGGGAACGTCATCTTACTTTGTCGTACTTTTTTTTTAGCATCGATCTTTCAAAGCAGGTACGCTGAAACGTACCTTTTTGTAATTCAATAAAAGTATAAATTGAACGTATCTACTTTATAAAAGTAGACAAAATTATTATACCGATCTTCATAGGAATAATACTGTAATCGAATGGACGAGTATATTAACCGAGGATTTGTACGAGAAATTTATCGCAATTTGAAGTTTTTAAAATAAGGAGAAAAAAAAAGAAAATATACGAAGAAAAATGTATGCAAAATATAATCTTATTTATGTCGGATTTCAATGATAAAGTGTACGATAATTTTTTCTATCTATCCTGTCTTTTTTTCCAAGATACACAACAATAGTTCTTCGTAGATATTTTATCGTTGTGTAATTTTTGTTTTCTCTATTTTTTTTTTTTTTATTTCCATTTCTGTTAAGTTATTACTTGAAATGTATTTTACGTTGAATTAAATAGACAGTAAAGTAGAGCAATTATTTGCTTCTCGAAATTCGCAATTTAAGATAAGAGGTGAAAAGAATGCTTTTCAAGGAGTACCATTCATTCTTTTCTACAAAAGTCTATGGTTCGGCGGCACTCGAAGCGCCAAGGTCTTTACGTAGGGTCTTTGGAGGAGTGCACGTCGAGACGTACTACTACTTACCATTACTATTACACAGGCCGTGCAACACACCAGGCGGGCTTTATCCACTTGAGCCCTCGACTCACCTTTTTGCGAGGATTAAATCGGATTACGTGCGACCGGTTCTACCAACCGAGTGTAACGAGCCTTTTCCTTCCTTCCCGTTAATGTACAACGCACGTTCTTACGGTTTGCTAACGTGACGCGTATTTAACAAGTGTCTTTTCTACATACGAACAACATTTACAACCTTTTCCCGCCCTCCCGTCCCCCATGCAACGAAACTCTGCACGACGACTTGCAATTATTTTACGAAATACAATTATTGTCTTTTTCTTTTTCTTTACGATCGATAGAATAATTTTGTCAATTAATTGATATTATCAATTGGGGGGGGGGGGAGGAGAGGAAACGAAACCTATCCTCAAATTAAACAAAGAAAGAATTGATAAATGCAATGAATTTTCTAAAAACGTGTAAAAATCGATATATTAATTTTGTTTATTATTTGAAATTATTTTTCCCGATCTACGACAAATCTTCTACGCCCGAATTTCTTTTCTTTTCTTTTTTGATAGACCCATATAAAACATTGATCATCGTAAAAAGATGGCCGGTACTCCAAGAAACATTTGTTTCAACGTCTGGTCCATTTGTCTCGTCAAATTATGATTGGCCATTTTTCGTCTGGTCGATGGTATCGTTGCGAACTTTTCCGTCGTTCGAAAAACTTTCTCTCATTCTCCCTCTCTCTTAGGAAAAATGAAAGGAAAAGAAATCGAATAGTAAACGTGGAACGTTGCGAGAATATTGGGTAAACAAAAAAAACAAAGAAAAAGAGTTGTCAAAAATTGTCTTTCAAATACTAATCTATACATAATTCTTAGTCGTGAGGAGATTGGTCTCGTGGGAGCAGGGGGAGAGGCAGGGGGCAAAACTAAAGTGACGAATATGCGGAAAGTGCGAAAAATGCAGGAAAATGAGTAAACAAAGAAGCATCATTAAATTCAAATCAACTTCTTAATTTGAACGAATGGTTTTTTGTCCTACGCTAGTACTGTCCGGCATGATAATAAGCGTTCATTTGTCATCGTTAGCGTTCCACGAATGCATTTCCTGTGTTTTCATCTCCTCTTTACCAATACAGAAACGTGTGAAACCTTTCCGGCGCGTTACCCACAACTCTGTTCTTGTTTTTCTTGTTTTCCAAACTTTTTTTTTCTCTATTTTCTTCTTTATTTTGTATTTTCATCGCTATCGAGCATCTCTCTCTCTCCCTCTCTCTCTCTTTTTCCCTCGTTGCTTTTAAATATAATACATAACATAATACTCGAGGGAATCTCGTAAACGACAGGATTGGGTTTATAATTGAATTGCGAACACATTGCAATGAATCATCCGCTTTTTGTGTAATATGTTGAACGTTTTCCTTTTAAATAATACTTTTTAATTCCTCCCCAAAGCTCTCTCTCTCTCTTTATATTGATATCTTTCTGGTTTATTTTAATTTACGATTAAATATCAAGTTTAGCGAGACCGAGATATTATTGACATTCTATTTTTTTTTTTTTTAAAAGCAAATAAAAAATGTAGTAATATTTTATATTAATAGTAAATATTTATTGAATATTTAAGAAAGAAATAAAATACGAGTGTTGCTCGAATTTTGAGAAAATATTCTTCGTAAATATCAAAGATCGCGTTTACTTAGAAAATTATTTGTAAAAAAAAGAAGATTTTTGTTCGTGAAATCGACATAGCAATTTAGTATTTCACGGTGAAGGAGAGTTAAATTAAACGCTATAAAAGGGTTGAAAACGGTGCCTGTCATCCCATCGAATACGGTCACACGATTCTCTTTTCACAGCGACCGCCGGCCATTTTCCCCAATTAAATAAATTAAGCGGAGTGCGTACGTCTACTCTTTTAGATCCGTATGGATGATGAACTCTCCGACCGACGATTAATTTATTTCCAAGCGATCATTATCAAACGCGAACTTTACATAATATCGTCTAATTTTACCGACACATACATTAGCGTATTGCATAATTTACCAACTACCTAGCAAAGTTAGGTGTCTATCGCAAAACCATTCAAAAATTTTCTATCGCACGTTTTACGTAACTCTCGTTACTAATTAGTCTTACGAATTATACTTTATAATTAATCGACGTTGTCTTTCTTTTTGTATCAAACTTTGCTAACACGTAACAAATGTTTTCCGAAATATACATATATATATATATATATATTTCTTACATAAAATGATCGAAACGTCGTTAGACTAATAACTGTATTATTCATTTTAATAATTAAAATATAAGAAATAATTTTGTACATACGATTTTACGGGAAATCATTTATCTATACATGTATATATGTATAGAATTTAATTATGCCATTAAAACATTGAATCTATAAAAAGAAAAATAGCTTTGACGGGAAAAACGGAGCCAGTTAAGAGCAAATATTCTTGTAGAAGAACAAACTACTGGGATTACATAATATATGTTTCAATTACCACTAACCTTGACACGTACAGTAACTACAGATGGTTAGAGAATCATTTACCGAGTTGCCAATAATTTCCGACTACATTTCATGCGGTTGGATTCATTAATAATTTGAAATACCTTATTTAATATAATATTATTTTAATAAAGAAAGGGGGAAAGAGTTGTTCGTATAAGTAAGTAAATAAATAAATAATAATAATATATCGTTAGATTGAAAATTGAAAAAAAAGGAACAATGACGCATGCGTAGGATAAAGCGCATTTAGTAGGACGAATTTCGAGGGAAATTCGAGTACAAACGTGGGCTTGCTTGGTCCCTCGAGGCTCCAACGACGAGCGTCATTAAATTTAATTACAAACTATCTAAATTATTGGAGAGGGTCGAAACGCGGGTTGGTTGTGACCGTGTCGGGATAGATTGGCAATGGTGTAAGAGAGATAGACAGATTGCATGATCTGTGCGTGCGCGCGTGTGGGTGTAGGTGTGGGTGTGGTTGTGTTAGAGGACTCCTAGAGCAAGCGATGACGATCAGCAAGCGATGATCGTTCAATCGATTCTCCGATGGTAGTGATGGTTCGAATAGGATATCATCCAACACATATACACATCTATACACTAATACACAACAAGTTGAAATTACGAGAAGCAAATGCAACGCAGCTAGCTAGCTAGCTATTCGTGCGTAACAACATCTTCGCATAGTCTTGCACTCGAGTCCGATGTATTCTTGAAACAGTTTAAACACGCGTAGCATAGATCTAGATCTAGATCATTTAGAGAAGAAGAAACAAAGAAAAAAAGGAAAAAAGAAACTTTAAGAGGATTATTATTCTCTTTTTACTCTTGTGACCTTTTTTCATTTAAAAAAAAAACTTAAAACTTAGACTAGACGAGAAAGCAATCCATACTCGCGAGTCAGTAGGTTATAATATAGATTCGTTTAATCTCTCATGTGTTTTCTTTATCAGTTAATCGTCATAAGAGGCAAAACTCGCATCAATTTCCTTCCACGGTTTCATCATCTGATAAGTTTACTCTTCGTATTTGCTCGGTAGCGTATTTAGAGAATACTCGATCATTGGAATTTACTTTTCAAGATGAATCCTTTATTTCCTTTCTTATTTGTTTTCTCTTTTATTATAGTTCTTTTTTTTTTTTTAT